CCCACCTTGTGCAGTGAATGTAGTAAGATCAAACTGGTTGAAATGGCTGGCTTCTACATTAGATGCTCTCCTTCTCAAGCATGGAATAAAGGATACAGATTAAGATGGTTTAATCTGCAAAAGCTTACTCTTAGACCTGTCAGTGCATTTTATTTTCAGCACATTCTAAAGCTCCAGTACAAGCTACACGTCTCCCAGCAGCAATCGGGTATGTGCACAGGAAAGATGCACAGGGATGATGACTGTCTCAGAAAATTGAAAAGTGCACAGTAAGATAAAAGAGTTGTACGTGTAACTGTGTGAATAAGAGAGCTCACATATGTAGCAAACAGTGCAAACTGAACTGGATAATTCCTTTCTCCTAAGAACAGGGTCTTAATTCCCAAGGCACAGTGAGCAAAGGCAAACAGGAGTGACTGACGCCCAGCCTTTGGTAGCTTGCACAGGAGAAAGATGAGCTCACCGTGGTTTCCTTTCTCATACAACGAATCCCTTCTTTCCACACAACCACATCTTTCTGAAGATACACTTTTTCTCATCTCCACTAACCTCGACTGTTCACTTTTCAAAGCAGAGACAGTCTCCTAGGTCAGGGCCACATACAGCCGTGCGGCTGGTGGATGGGGTATCACTTCAAGCTGCTCGTCAGTTCTCCTCACTCCACGGCCAAAAGTTACTAGCCCCTCAGGTCTACCCGCAGAGCTGCTCTAGGAGCTTTGTCTATCCTGGTGCCATCAGAATGATCCCTGTTAGAAAGTCTGTTGTTCTGAGTATTGACACTAACAGGTTATTACGAAGGAACGGAGTTTGGAGAGACTGCACGTGCCAGCAGATACCAGGAAGGAGCAGCCCCTGGAGATGATGGCAGAGGGTAGTAAAAAGTAGGTAGTGCTAGGCTTATGGCAGATATTGCAGAATATTAGAAGTACTGCAGATATGAGGAGGAGAAGAAAGCAATTCCCATAATCTCACAGAGGGAGTGTACAGTTTAGCTAGGAATCTGATCCAGACTCCCTCTGTACCAGTGCCTCCCTTAGAACACCATAAACATGCTTCTGCTCGAGCTTAGTTCGGGCCACAAGGCTCATCTGCAGTCGAAATAAACAGTTCTTTAAAACAACAGCCGCCTCAGCCGCCAGCAGCATCAAATGAACGTGACTTCGAGGAGAGAACGCATCACCAGCCAACTGAGACCACACGCCACTTGCTCGCCACGGCAGCGAAATGATGGAGGTTCCAGGAACCGTCCTGCCACCAGAGACCATTTGTCCTCATCAGCACCCCTGGGCACACCGCACTTCATCTGAGCCGTGACCGCCTGCCTTCCCCAAACGTCATGTCATTTTTGTACCTCTTCTCGAGACTTGTCAGCCCACGGACACATCTTTGTTTGGTAAGAACGCTGGCTCAGCACGAACCGAAAAGCGGTTACACGCAGCTCTGCTCCGAGCCCTGGCGAACAGAGACGTAACACAGCGCACTAGACTGCATCCACGCCATTTGTTTGGTTACATTACGCCTTGCAGGTGCTTAGTCTTTCCTGCCCTGTCCGGCCCCAGCTCTTCATTTCACAGCCTGAGCAGAAGGCCTAGGCCAGTGGCTGAAGGCGAGGTACCAGCCTCCGCTCCCCGACGCTGCTGTCACTTGTGCCCAGTCAGCCATTCGGCAACCCAAACCAGGGCAGCAACCTGCTCTGTGGGGGGCTGCTCTCCAACGCTGCTGCGCTGAGTGGCCACAACGGTGCAAGCACGGTCAGCTTTTCCCAGCAGCTCTGTCACCTGCTGAAGCCTGCACGCATACAGTGAACAACTGATGACACAGAAACAAGTCTGACACATTCAGGCTGTTATAAGGCACAAAACATCTACTGTAAGTCCGAAGAAAATGCTCCAAATAAATTCCATTTTTGTACAAGAGTATATTTAGCCCGGCTATTATTAAAGGTTACTGCTACGTAGCATGGACTTCATGTATTCAAAAAACATTTCAGTGAACAGAAAAACCTTTATGTTGGTGGATAATATTCAGATTATAAGAAAGGATGGGGGGAAGCATCCAAAGGTTGAGAGGCCTATCTCATTTCAGCACACAGAGTGGTACCCAGGCTGCCCGAGGCTGCAGGATTCCATCTGTGTAATGAAAGGCTCTCAAAACATCTAGTTTGTCTTGGTTCAGTTCAGCCAGGCTGAAAAATACTGCATGGCCTCGCATGCAGAAAGTCTGACACTTTTTTGATATCCATTGAGATTTCTTACAACTTCAACACTAGAAGACAGGCTAAAAGTTTTCTTTCAAATACGATATGAACAAACCATGGGATTCATTAATTATGACTCTTTAGGAAGCAGACAGGTGCAGAAGGTCTGCTAACTTGGTTTTACAGCATTCCTGAAAAATAACACAGAATGGAAAGAAAGAAAAACTGGCTTATTAACAGCCATCACCTGAGATCTTATGGTAGCACCAAGGATTATTTCACAGTACTCTCATTAAAAGGGTCACTAACCCTTTAAAAAGCAATGCCAGTATGTACTAGCAGTATGTACAGTACTGAGCTCAAAAAAGCTCAGTATAAGGTACCAAACGAAAGCTGGACACAGACTTCCTTTTAAACAGAAAAACAAGCACGCCTCTAGTCTCTTCTGTTCAGAGACAGAGTTGACAAATATACAGTAAGAGTTATGGAGAATTATTCTACCAAAACTGAAGATGGGACATCCAAGTAGGATGTGTATATGTATGTGTTAAAAGGGAAAGGAGAAAGAAGAAAAAAAAAAAGAAAAAAGGTAAAAAGGTCCCTAAGAAGTGCCTGATACCAGAGCAAAAATCTGTTTCTTAAACATTGGCCATATCTTTTCTTCAGAAGAGAGAAAGAAAAGACTCAAAATACTTCATCTTTCCTCCTGTACCCCTCCTTCTCCCAGCCTGCATACTTTCCAGTGGCCTCTTCGCTGGGATGTGACAACTGCCAACACATTAATGTGATAAAGCAATGGCCCAGTAATATCACTCTGGTCTTTCCCTTTGGTCCAAGTTAGAGCACAGTAGCAGCTGACAATTTCTTTTCCTTGAAGTCCCCCAGCCATTGATTCCTATCTCCTGATTCATGTTCTTACTTCAAAACGTATTTCAGCCACCAAGCCTCAATTTCCAGACTCTCAACATCAGTCCTGGGTGGTAGAACTTTTCTCCCTGTTCCAAGCTGAACCAAAGCAAGCTGAAATCAATGCTGCTCATCAAGAGAAAGTGCTTAAAGACCTGCCAAGGCCTTGCCACCACTCTCCTTTTGATAACACATTTACCCAGCAAAACAATGCAAGACTATGTGCTCCTCGTGACTCCTGCTCACCTAAGGTTACCAAACAGCACGAACTAAAAAAAGGAAAATTTTCCTTTCACTTTTAGCTTCCTACAAACTGTGTGCTTCCCTCTGAGTCTATCCACAGTAATCTATGCCTCTGTCATCTTCAGATTGGTTCACTACAGCTGACTTCATCTGAAGCTGAACATGAAAATGCTACGCAACTTAGAGAAGCCAGACAGTCAGCCCTCTCTTTGGCTCCCCTTCAGCATCACTGACAATCTGTGCCTTTCCCCAAAACCCCAAACTACTGCTAATATCAGTCTGAGGCTTGGATCTACAATTTCAAAGCAAGGAAGAAATCTCCTCTTAGGTCCACCAGAGAGCAGATTGCAATCTATAAACCAAGACACAATCTGTGCTGCTCAGGAGCAAAGGCAAACAGAAAGTTATGGGCTGAACAGAAGACGACTTGAGCACTCCTTACTTAAAAGAACAGCAAACATCCTGTAGGAGATCAGGGAAACCTATAGGCAGACCCACCTTCAGGAACAGTGTTAAAAACCTGTCTTCTTTCTGTAAGTGATAACTACAATCTGAATACCCCAATACCAGTATCACCAAAAAAACCCCAAAACAAGACAAAAAAAACCCTAACCAAAAAACCCCAACCCACCCCCCAGACCTATCCAGACACTATTTTGACTTTTTGACTCTACCAGAGATGATGTGACAGAATTGCCATGAATTAAAAAATGGATACTGCTACTGGTTTGATGTGAGGACTGCTCAAATCTCATCTAAGCATTTTCACTGTTGATTTCCCCCTCTGTATTTTCAATTCTTAAAACACATAATCAAGCTGTTCACAAATAAAACAAGTAAAATGGCAAAAGGCAACAGCAAAAAGTGTTTTGGTGCTTTAGCACTTCAGACTTCGTCAAGCATCTACTCCGCTCTGCCAGCTGAACTCCCCCAAAGACCAGCGCTACCACCTGACTCCAGCCTTCCCGTGCCCATGCTGAAGAGCATTATGGAAGTGGCATCTCCACTCAGTCCAGCTACGCTCCATTCCTTTGCAACTACGAAAAGTAAGACAAGGCTGCCAACTACAAAAATCACCTCAGTAGAGGACTCATAAAAGAAATACAAGCTCAGCCTGCACTCTTCCCCCACCATCACCTGGAGGAAAGGGCTGATGTCCTGAAGATGGCGAGGCACACGCACAAAGCGTTTTGCCAAAGTTTAACAGTACAACTCACATCGACTTCAACGAATGTAGACTGAAAACAATGGGAAAAATTGGGAATGTGTTATGATATTTGAATGCTCAGCATCAAACACACTTTTATAACGAAACAGAATTATGGACACAACTCAAGAACATACCCAAACCAGACACAGGCCTAAATCCATCCCTATTCTGGATAAATTTAAAAGTTAAATATACGCTTAACTATTACTCAGAACAGAGATATTCATTGCATATCAGCAGCAACTCACAACATCATCTGGTTGAAAAAAAATTTTATCAAAAGCTGGATTTTATTGCAGTGTATCAGAGAATCATGATAGCTATAAAGCTGTTGCTTTAAAACCTAATCTGCTAATGGCACGGAATGTTAATTATGTGATATTCTCTAGGGCTACACACACTTCTTACCGACAGAAAATTATCATCATATATATATTATTTTACCTGGAACTTTATTTTTTGCCAAATGTGAGGCACAATAAACTGTTTCAAGAAGCGTTCATCTTCACTCCAGAACAGCCGGATGTCAGGGATATCGTACAGGATCATGGCCAGCCTCTCCAAACCCAAGCCAAATGCCCAGCCGATTTTATCCTGAGCACCAGCTGCAATAAACAAACAAACAAGATAAAAATTCAAGAGCTTAAGTTTACATCATGAAAAATTGCTTGTAAAATGTTCACCTATTTAGCAAGGGAAAAAAAAAAAAGGGTGAAGTGGCAAGACAGAAAAGCCTACAAGAAACTGCCAAATGAAGAATCTAAAGGCTACCGGAAAGTTCTTGCATCAAAAACCGCAGCGAGACTGGGCACATCACCGTGTCCAGGAACCAAACGTAGTCATAAAGCTGGACTCTTGGCAATCTGTGTCCGAAGTTTCAGACAGACTCTGAGAAATGCTCCATAACACTACACAGCACTTCCCTCCGCTGGCCTTAGAGCTGAGCACTTCCACACCTCACTCGGTTGTGCTTTACAAGACACAGAAACACGAATTTCCTGCTCAGAACATTTCACCTGGGCTGACAGACCAGACCAAGCCTACGCAGCATTAACATCATTACCAGCATCTGAGAGGACTGAAATTGCCTCTTTCGAGGCATCTGGAAGAAACAGAGCAGTGGGATGCCAGGCGCTGTCGCATTAGCATCACGCCTCCAACCAGGGGACTCCTGGGCTGCTGCCCCTGGGAAAAGCCACTGCGCCCACATACACAAGTCTCTTTTAGGCAGCACTAAATATAAAAAGACAAGAATATTTAATACTGAAGAGCTGTACAGGTATTAATGATGCAACATTTCTGCCAGGAAAGTAAATATTCATACCATCCTTCATTTACAGGGCAGGAGCACCGAGTCATTGAATGGGGATTTTTTCAACACCAGGACCCAAGTCCGTGTTTAGCCATCATCCTACTGATTTTGAGATCAGCCGAGAGCCCAGCTGCGCTGGCAAAGGCTCAGAGCTTTTTAAAACTTAAACTAATGCCTAAATAAAGACACTTATGCTGAAAGACTGCATGCATGCGTGACAGGCTTGACTCTTCACCATCAGCACTGGCAGCGTGCTCCCGAGTCACGTAGTATCACTGTACACCTCTCAGCTATCCATCTAGACCAAGGCCACACCTGCCTCCCCCGGTGTTAATTTAAACTCTAAGTTTTTGGAGACTTCGAACTCGGCAGCCTCCTCGCCATCATGCAGGATGCTGGAGGCAGAAGTCTACTTTCTGACCCCTGCCTCTGCCGTCAGAAAGGAGACAGCTCCCGCTATTTGGGCGCTGATGACATCCTGAGATACGTTGTCACGTTCAATGCTGAGATGACACAGTCCAGAGTCCTGTTTTAATAGGGGCAGGCGTAACAATCTTGGCAAGAGAGACACAGTCATCACTTTGATTCTTTTAATTAATTTGAACCTGCCTATTTACGGGGAACACCAAGTCCTCAGCAGAACCCCTCTGTGCTTCACCTGCAACCTCAGCAGTATTGCACTGCTACAGGAATTTGGTCAACTTCATAACGGCACTTCCCAGAAGAGTCTAAATATTTGGCTTTGTCCCTTCTCCTGTGCTCATATGCAAGATTTTGCACTTTCTGACCTTCGAAAGCAGACAGTTTATCACTTGCACTGTGGAAGTCCTAAGAAATAGAGGACTGGGTGTGAACTCGAGACGCACCTCATGGCAGAGCTGCTCAAACTAGCATGCTTAGACCAACCAACAGACTTTGAGCTAGCCTGACCTCGGAGATCTGCAGACCATGCCACAGTGCATGAAGAACTGCATGATTTGCTACTGTTGACTGAGTTATTTTTAGAGAAAGGATAGCGACTACACAGAATGTATTGAAATTCGTGTTTGGGAAAGATTTTGAGCTTTGACTTTTAAGTCAAAGACTTAACCATAAATCGTTTCTTTTCCAAGCTGAAAATGCTATTTCTCTCCATACTCCAGTATGTAAAAGTAATTCTATTTTGATGGCTATGAAGAAGGGAAGATAATTCATTGCAGTGGTGTAGCTTCCCCACGCTTGCAGCTTGTCTTTCTAAGATGATCAACTCCTGCCTCGACAGCAAAACTCCTATTCATTTCAGAAGTGCCAGACTTTCACATACGTATGGATGTGTCTGCAGACTGACTAACACCATCCACCCCCTCCTCCAGAGGTACAGTCGAGCACCTGGAGCAATATTCATGAGGGTTTTGAACAGCCACTGTTTAATCTCAACAGAGGCATTAAACATGAAACCTAAACATGCCAGGTTAAGCATCAGTGTTAATTCACTGATGCTCCTTTAAGTACACATGATAGGGGGTGATGAACCTCCTTCCCCACATCACTGATGATTACTGGTAGTTTGGACAGGAAGAAAAAAAAAGGATATGACAGAAGATGAGCAGAATGGGGCTATATTCTGATAAGCCAAGCTTTACATTTAAGATTTGTGCTTTTTTACTATTTTCATATAAGAACGGTTTTCGCTGTAACTCTTTTTTTCTTCACACTTTATATCTAATGGATTTGCTATGCACTTTAATTCTGTAATGAATATTTTGATTTTATATCAGGAAATTTTTTTGGTTTTTTTTTTGGGAGGGACTGGGACATATCACAGGTTTTTGCATCATGTAGCAGACAAAAAAAAGCTGTACCCAGCTATCTGCCTAGCAGCTGAAAACATTGTCATCTGAGTTATGAATAAATACCTAGTTGCAGAACTTGTCTTTTGGATGATCCTCGTACAATTATCAGCCTCCAGACCACAAGCTTCTCAAGTGTCTGCAGTCAAACCTATTTCAGCAAAGAATTCCCTCTGCTCAGAGAGGGGGTGGAAAAAAAAAAACAAACCCCACACTACAGGAAAAGGAAAATTCAGATAATTAGAATTCCTTCTCAGATCAGCACTTGCAAATCTCCCCTGCACTCTGCATCTTCAGTTATTTTGTCTCTGATCTCTTCTCCAACTTCCTATTTGTAAAGCCCCAAGTCAGTGTAGCATTGACTTAGAGCATCTGAAGACTTACTTTGGGGATCTCAACAAGACTAAAGCATGCTTCTAAACATCCTTCTGACTGGAAATGACCAGGTGGCTTAGAAGTTAAACGTGCAGTTAACCATGCTGTTGAGTGAGAGCGCAACCCAAAGCTTTTCACAGCACATATATATGTATAAATACACTGAACTGTGGCAAGCAGTATGCAAAGAAGTCAAGTGAATGTGAGTCGTGACAGAAAGAACTAACACAGAACAGCTTTAAATGTGGCAAAAACCAGGCTGAGGTTCTGACAAGCAGCCCTGTCCACAACAGCAGATTCCAGGGACCTGGTGGGGCAATCACAGCATCACTGCTTGAAATAACACAGCCCAATGGATAAAGCTTTCCTGACATACGAGCTTTCCCTAAATGGCCCTCAAAGGTTCGTGTGCTGCCAGGCTCCTGCTGCCTCACGTGAACAACTTGACCAGCCACCAGAAGAAAATTGCTGGAAGCTTTGCGTGTCAGGTAGCCAAAGACAGAAAAGGAAAGGATAAAACAGCTTGACTGGCTTCCCACACTGCGGGCTGAGACAGCCCAGTCTGACTCCAGAAGGTTGCATCATCGCAGCTGTGTCTTAGCAGGGAGCTCAAGAGTCCTTATCTTCCTTAAGAAGTCATATCTATCTGTCCTGCACTTCAGCTTCCAGCTCAGATGAATCAGTTTACACTTAAATGCAGACCAAGCAAACTATTCTCAAAAAAACATTGTAAAATGAAAGCTAAATTTGATCAGCCAGGATGGGAAGCTTCATCACTGCTCACTGAGGCGCATATAATGACCTCCCAGAAATCACGGATTACATACCACTGAATCCTCAGAAACACCCGCAGACAGAAACGTTTACCTTCAAGGAGTGTGAGGCAAGACATTTTGCACTGTACAAGATTTTTTAAAACAATTTTGCAACATAGTGTTATGAACAGGTTGACAAAACTCTTTTGTTATACACTTCAGTCACACTTCTTTCTATATCTACGCTGGTTTTTATTTAACAATTTTCACTACTCCTGTAAAACTGCCAATAAAGAAATCTTTCTTGCAATACAGCCTAAACTGGGTCTTCAAATTGTTATACTCAGCAGTTACTAAGAAGTGAAAGAAATTAAATTTTGATCTTGGATTGAGGCAAAGTCAGGAGCATACAACAGCCTGCATACAAGTTGTTCTTCACAAAATGCCCAAAAATTAATATACCCAAAGTGTATGTAGCTGAAAGCTGGGATGAGTTCCAGAAACGAAGACCTGAATTTGATCTTCTGCTTTGAGTCCAAACCATGGCTGTTAATGGAGCAAATTCAGAAATTGAAGCGGTGGGAAGAGGAGTGAACAGATTCTCAAGGACACACAGACTACACATCAAGTTTTATAAAACAAATCATCGCTTTAAACTGTGCAGAAAGTAAGTTACAGATATAATGAACATGTGACTTGACACAAAACATCAGAAATTCCTGAAACAAAGACCTCTGCCCACATTTGAGCTCTATGTGATTAATGGACAGCTTATGAACAAGGCTTTGAAAAACCGCTTCTGCACAATAAATATTTCTGCTATACACAGCGAGAGACTAGGAATGCATATTCTACATGACAGCCATAGCAATTATATAAATCATGTTTACCTGTGTTAAAAATAAGCCATTTAAAATCATTTCCTACTTCAGATAAAAATCCCGTATGTTGGGAATCAAAGGTGTTACACGGAATAAAAAAATACAAGGTGTCAGTCTAATACAGAAGAACTTCTGAAAGAGCAAGGTCAGGTGGCTGGGACGTTAAGCAGCTGAGGCCAAAAAGCTTACTGAAGTTTCCTTCCGAACTTCTCTCTTCAGTGAAAGCCAAAATCAACACTGTCACATTATTCTCTAACTCAAACTGATGCATTCAGGCTCCTGTGTGCAGTTCAGTCTAAATTACCTCCTAAAATAAGGACTTGGCTTTCAGACTATGCATGCTAACTAAGCCACTCCTCAAGAACTCAAGAAAAGAAATAAACATTCAATTACGTCTATTCTGTGAAAAAAAGAACTTATCTTTCTAAATCTTATATGTGGAATAATTTTCTA